GAGAAATATTTTCCAGTACTGAAAATCCAAAACATATTTCACAAATATTATATAAAGTTGTAATCGGATTTAACATGCATTTTACACAAGACACAAATACTGAAAAGGAAGTCATGGGGATCTTACTAGAGAGCAGCTAATGAACTTTGCCGAGTAACAGTTTAGTAATTAGTTGGACCAATTAGCATGCTGGATCCACGCAATGCCACCGTTACAGTATTATCTATAGAGTGGAAAGAACATGGATATATAGGAACTTCTACATTTTAAGCAGTGATGCAAAAGTCACAATTTTCAGCTTGGATATTGCTTTTCTTTAAATCGTTAAAAATGTATACTTAAGTTTGACAAATTAATATACTAAACATACTAAACTTTTCCTGTAGCAGCAGGAACTCAATCAGTCTACTGTATATCAATCAGTATAACATTAGATAAACAGACTGCCTGTTACATCACAAAAGCATCAGAGCACATAAGACTCCTTAACTAATGAAGATAATTCAGTATGATGTAACAGAGAGACTGAAGATGCTGACTCATCTTTGCTTTTAAAAGATCCAATTGAACATCAAGCTCAATTTTGCAACAACTGTATTTGTACACCATCTGTGACAGACAGTTTTTAAAAAAGTCGTAAATCCTGTGGACTTCATTCCAGGTTTAGTCATATAGGTCATCTGGGAACTTGAATTGCCTCTACAGTGTCTCTTAGCAAGAGTCCAGTAGTTAACCAGAGAAGGCAGGCCAGCACACTAAAGAGGCTTAAGGTGACAGGTAACCAATGTTAGAGACAGAGGCATTTAAGGATTCTCAAATGAACTCACACAACACATGATGCCAGGTTCTCACACTCTCCCTTCTTTACTTTTCATATAGAGTTAAATATGGTTTGAATTACACCAGCAAAGATTTGCCTAACTACAGAGTCAAGGCACTGAGAATATTATACAGTACTACAAAATGCAAAATAGGTTTGATAATTCAATGACTTTTCACTGGGATGTCACAATACAGAAGAAAATATCTGTTGCTAGTTTCATTATATTGCAACTTTAAGTACACTTTGGCTCATCTTCCAAATACTTCTAGCAATCAGGCTGGATTTTCTTCAGATTTTCCTCAGTTTATAATATTAAAGGTGCACATTTTTATTTTTACTTATTTACTAGTTTTACACCTAAAGAAGTAAAAATTATACTTAAAAAAAATAAATAATAATGTACAGAGATAAAGTACATTATATAGAGATAAAGACCACAATAGAAAAGCTGTTTTTATGGTGAATTATGGTAACACTTTAAAGACCAATTCTCACTATTACCTACCATGCACATTACTAGTATGTTGGCTGTTTATTAGGACTTATAAAGTACATATTAATCTCTTATACTGCATGACCATATTTTAGATCCCTTAATCCGATCCCCATACCTAAATTTAACAAGTACCTTACTAACTATAAAAAAATCAGCATATTAGATGACCGGAATTATACTTATATTATGTATTTATATTACAGATGAACAGCTGCTTTATCACTTAAATGTCATATCCAAATTTGCTGTAAATTTTCTATGAATATCATTTAAAATATCCATAGCAGGCACATTAATTCAAAAATGCCTCCCAGGAAATTGTGTAATGTAGGACAGATAGTGAAAAGGGTTGTTGTAATGTACAATATTCTCTCAAAAGTCTTCTTCAGAAGGCAGGTCACTCCCCTAAGCACTAAGAGTCTTTTTACTTTGGTTGGCGTCACCCCTTCTAAGCAGTTGATTTGGGATTACAAAGGATTTCAGGTTAGGAGTCATAAACCACAAGCAGAAATGCAGATATCCACCATGTTTCTGAATGCTACATTAAACACTAAGTGACAAAGGTCTTCCTGTGAAAATAAATCTGACAATGTCATTCAAAAACCTGAAGAGCTTCCCACAATACTCCGTATCTGAGCACAGTTTAAAAAAGAACAGGACACCTGTCTATACTTAGAGGTACTAAAAGGATCACATCTTATTGGATTAGCCCGAGCTTCGGCTAAAGGAGCAAAGAGCACATGTACCAACTGCCCTACACCAACCACTATCTCTACCACTATTAATTGTAATTTTAGAAGCCTTAAACCAAAAGTCTCTAAACCAAAGCCATTTTTCATTTCAATCCAGAAGGGTGAAAATCCAATGTAAATTGCTCTATAATGTCTTCTTCTACACGGCCCACCTGTCTGTGTGAATAAAAGGATATCTATTTATTTTGTGTTAAATCAATTCTGAATGAAACGTGGGACATTTATGAAACATTTACAAGCTTTCTGGAATCACATTCCCAATGTACTGAGGTGACAATCCTACATTCAAAAAGCAATCTACCAGCAAAGAGCAATCTAAGACTAATGAATGTGGGTTTATGTAGATAACATGCTACTAATTGTTCTCAATCTCAAGAGTAACGCACATGCCCCTGGTGCATCACTAAGAAGCCTATCAAAACAGCACGGTCAGCTGATTCACCTGTGTTCCATACGTGGGACAAACTGCATCTGCAAACAACAAATCCGACTCCAGCTGTTTGAACGAAACAGCAGGTTGGACAGGTTGAACTGGCTTCATATGGGCCTCTTAAACGATCAATAATACATAATACCGCTAAACTGATATCCAGATTCAAGTTAATTCAACAGTGCATGGCATATAATCATACATTATTTATATCACCTGCAGCAATGGGTCAATATACAGTGGCCTCAAAATGATGTAGACACTTTTGGGCAGTTAAGTCTTGCTTAAAAAGTTAGAATTTCACTGCATTAGTGGCTTCTGCAAATAAAGTATGCAAATATATATATATATATATTTTGGGGGCTTTTAACCAATTGGACCCAAGGTCATTTTATTAATGTCTGACAACCAGAAAGTGTCTAAATGCTTTCTTCACATATATTGTTGTAGAATTTTTAAACTGCACAAATATCTTTTTGTAATTTGTTTTTAATGAATAGTACACCACCAATTTATATATATATATATATATATATTGTCTAATTTTTGTCAATTATCTAATACAATGACATTCATACATGTGGATAATTTGTCTAAATATATTTTGGGGGCCACTGTATAGTAAGTTCTCATCAAAGAATTACAATAAAGAAGAAAAAGAAAAGAGAAGAGAAGAGCTATTGGAAATATGAAAGTAAGCTGCATGTACTGTATATTTATGTTCCTTGTGCCTGTCAGATTTATGCATATTAATAACACTTTGTTTGATAGTAAAATAACTTTTAAAATGTCCACCCAGTAGTTGTTTGTCCTATAATGGACACACAGACAAACATTAAACAGCTAAGTAAACATTTTTGTACTTTCATAATCAGTATTTTCCCAGTAAAAATATGTAAACATCTCTAAAACAAGACTGCAATATTACTGACAAATTTATGACAAAAATGTAATAAAATTTAGTATAACAATATATCTTTTGAATTTTAATAATTTATATGAGTTTTGTTTTTCCCGAAAGAAATATTTTTACTGGGGAAAAATAGACGAAATGCTGGTTAAGACTCACAAATTTAAACACAACTCTGTGAAGTGGTATTAACAAAGCTAATTGTGCCAGGAAAAGACAAAAATAGATATCTATGCCTCTTGAGATGTCTGGCTGATAAAACACAGGTTTCAGCAAAAGGGGAAAGTAAAAGATTTTAACAACTTTCTTCCTTAACTCCATCTTGCCTCATCTCTACTACTTTTGCTCTCTCTTTCTGCTGTCCATCTCTGTCTATACAGCAGTGGTTCTGGTCTTACTCAGCTGATTGTGTGCTCTCAGAGCAGTGTTGTCTGCTCTGTCCAGGTGACACCTGATATAATGCCTAATCCGGCTCAGAGAGGTGATAAAACTGTCTGTGTTCTTTTCATTGGGAACACTGAATCTCAGCCAACAGTCGGGTTCCGCTCCCACTGCTGTTGCAATCAGCTTCCTTGTTCTGTTAAGTGCTCAAGATCCACAGAAATTCCCAAAATGCACCATAAAAACCAGTGAGCATCAGCTGCTCATTATATTTCCATAGCAGTAATGTTGTCATGTTCTAAGTCATCAGAGCATGAGCACAAATGTACATGTGCTTTATTTTCAGTCCTCGCAGTCTAATTGCTTAATGGGCATGGATTGCAGTTGTTAGAAGATTTTAAAAAAAGTCAAATATTTTTTTTTTTTATGTTTGAATGCCATTATTTATGCACATAATGCTTTGCAGAGTATAGCATTTCCCCGAGAAAGCCATCAAAGCATTGAAATATAATTTTTTCTCCAATCTCATATTTTTTTTTATCATCACCATGACCTTTTAGGGGCTCCGTACAAGTATATATTTAATAAGTGGTACTATACTTTTTTGCACAATGGCATATTTTAAGAACTAAGGTGTTGTTAAATACTAGTTATTTCATTAGCACTTGGGTTCATCTTCATAAAAAAAAACCCTCACCGTCCAAAAAAAATATTTAAAGTGTCAAATATTAGTAAATAATATAAGACGAACAGAACTATAACTATACTCTATCTGTCTGTCTGTCTGTCTATCTATAAAATATTATTAACAGAAACTGTCATGATGATTTCATTTCACATATTAATTTTTTGTTTCTTTAGCATTTCAAATAATAATAGTTAATAAAAAATAATTAAATGACATTTAATAGTAAAACAACTAATAATATTGATTATGTCATAAAAGTCATCCTCTGCCACCGTTGGAAATTTGCTGAGGACCCTCAAGTGGGCCACAGCACCCTTGTTGAGAACCACTGTGATATACTGATTCCTAACAGGAGTGGAAGGAGACATGAAGGAGAATGCCACCTTTGACCTGAGAAGCAGATAGAATAATTCACCTGGAATACTTCGACTCACCTTAGGAGGAGCTTCAATGTCATCCACTTGATTCCTGAGTAATTTAGTCTTGATTACAGTCTCTACAGTCATGTTGTACTTCATAAAAGTGACATAGCTTGCGTAACAGAGTAACAGTCCAATGCTCTCGACATAGGTAATGTAGTTATCCAGGAAGAAAACAATAAGCATAATTAGTCCAATGATATAAAAGCTGACATCTCTGAACAGAGGCCACCAAGTGAGGTTGAGAATCTCGCGTGAAAAGAGAGCGCACATCCCGATGACGAACAAGATGTTGAAGACAGCAGAACCCACGATGGTCCCGATGCCCACGTTGCTGTGTGAGACGAACACACCGATCACAGAGGTGAAGAGCTCAGGAGCAGAGCCTCCAGCCGCCATGAAGGTGGCACCCGCTACGTCATCCGAGATCTCCACTTTTTCTGTGATTACGGTGAGAGCGGGGACAAAAAACTCGTCGCAGACGATAGCAAGGGCAATGAACATGTACATCATGCCGAACATATGCAGCACGACTGCACCTTGCCTCCTCTCCTCCAGTGTGAACAGATCCTCTGGATAGTCTCCCTTGTGCTCATCGGACGAGGCCATAGCAATGGGCGCATCTGCCGAAACATTGCGCTCTTCGTCGGAAGATAGGACAGTTCTGTGTGGCACTGGCTCTGCAAGTACATCATGGTTGGTGAGAGAGGTGAGTGGCGTCCATCTTGGGAATGGGCCCAAAGTGAAAGTAAAGGCACTCCAAGACAGGAACAATGAGAGGGCAGAGATGCTCAGGATAAAACCAAAAATCCGAGAAGGACGTAGTTTCCTCCTGACATGATGCACTCGATGGCGCTTGCTGTTCCACTGCAGAGGGGTGCAATCTGACCCCAGTTTGACACTGGGGAACGTTGGATCCATGGTTGACGGGCAGCTCGGGGGTCCGGTGGTCTGAAATCTATGGAGCGCCGGACATGATCACACGCCCACTCTACTTAAACCTGACAGGAACAATATACTCCCCGATTCCTTGCAGGGTCCAGAGTCTCTAATGGCTTCCTCATAATAATCTCTGAAACACAACATATCACAAGAGTAAAAAAAAAAAAAAGTTTAGATTTCTCTGGATCAGAATACATTTGCCTTTAAAAATTCTGATTTACTTTATAATTTTGAATCAAAATAAACATCAATGAGAAAAATCAATTGAGAAAAATATAAACTTTTAGTATGACAATGGCATGGATATTCATTTTATTTCAAATGTATCCTACTTCATTTAAGTAGGATTAATATAACATGCTTTCCTCAGCCAATCAGGTAGCTGGCTGTCAGTCACCTTGCTGCAACCTATTAACTTCCAGAGTACGTCTTTGCAGTGGCGAAGGAGGACAGTGTTTCTCAGACTGATCCCACACCTGTTCCATAAGGCTGCTGATTGTTGATTTAAAGCAACACAGTTGACTTCTGTTTAAAGGTGCTGTATGCATATTTTTTACTCTACTAAAGCATAAAAATACCATAATATGTTTGCAGATATTTAAGAATCATGCTAAGTTAACATAATTGTTTATCTGAAAAACAATGCTACAGTCAGTTATTCTCCTTTGAAAATGTGCGTTCCGGGCCGGAATGTCGGTCTCTGTTTTGGTTTGTGAAACCCGCCCACTGCCAGTTTACCCAATTGTATTTCGTCACACCGGGTTGCCAGTTGGCGGAAAACACAGCGTATGTCATTCCATTCATCGTCAAGTGCGTTCATTCCTGTTGGTGTCAACAATCTGGCAACCTGCGTGTGCGTCAAGTCTGAGGAGGAGGGGCCGGGTGAAAAAAACCCTCTCCAATATTTTGAATTTGGACTGCAATACCTAGTTCAACCACTCGGTGTCAATCCTACATACAGCACCTTTAATTTTAGCATTAAAGAGATCCCAAAATGTTATTCCAAATCTTTCTTATTCCAAATGCAAAAACAATAACAAAAAAGTATTTTGAAGAATGCTGGTAAGCAAACATTTTTGGTAAAAAAATAAATAAGAATAATACGAATAATAATAATAAAGAAAGAAAGAAAAAAAGAGAGAGACATTTTAATGATTACAGTATTTTCATTTTTGGGTGAACTATAGTTTAAATGTTAAATAGGTCTATTCATTCCTTTATAAAAATGAATTATACAATTAATAATAATAATTATAATAATGATGATGATGATTATTATTATTAATGTCTATGATTAAAGCACACTGAAAAACATATTCCTATACCATCATTGTGCAGAATTTAACATCATTTAAGCAAACACTCTCAGCCATTTCAGCTACAGGTTCCCTAATTGGTGACAGAAAGGTTAAGGGCAATGACAGATGCTGCGGTTTTTGTTTGGTACACATCACAAGCTCTCTTTTCCAGTATAACAGAGCCTTTGAGATGTAAGTCTAATTGGTGTGACAACTAGACTGTTACCAAGCGTATTAACTCTTCCCACCTCACTTCCTTATACTCTGTAACTTCTACTAATGTATGGCTTGTGCAGATTTGGTAATAGACCATCTCAACCTTCCCATAGTTTCATATTTCAAAAAGAATCTGGGATGTTGCTTTCCACACTGTAAGAAGTGAAGACATGCAGATGACTTTCATAGTATGGAAAAAAATACTATGGAAGTCAATGGCTACCGTCAGCTGTTTGGTTACCAGCATTTTCATAGGGTGAGTAAATTATATTTTTATTTTTGGGGCAAACTATCCCTTTAAAGTCACTTAAGTTGGTGTATAATCAGAATGATTCAGCCATATCTGCATTGAATAAAACTAATTCAGTCACATTAGCCTTGATAAAAACTAATTAATTTAGATGTGACCATATTAACATTTTATTGTGCAAAAATATTAAAACAAAGCAGGATAAATGTTTACAGACAGCTTACAGACTACCATGTGAATCCTAAAATAGAATCTCATCCCATATGACTGCCAGTCCACAACTGTCTAAATATGACAGTGAGTTACAGTTAACATTGTCAATAATTGGGCTTCGCAGTGTACAATAACCCAGTGTCTAAATATAACTAACCGCTTCCAAAATTCGACCAACCAAGAGAGCCACTTTTGTTACAATCTGGCATCTATAGGTTATAGGAGGACATGTGCTCATGCGTCTAACCAATAAATAACCACTGTAATCTGGCAGACACCTCCTGATACTCACACAATGCATGCAACTAATAATACAGCAATTAATCATTCACACATGAGATATTAAACCAATAATCTATAAGTTTTGCATTGCGTATAGCTCATATAAATCAGAATGACAAAAAAATAAAACAACCAATAAATAGTTACATTTATTATTATTATTTAAAATAAATCAAATTAAGCAATACTTCCACCAAATAATATAGTTCTATAGAAAGACAGAGCTATGGCAAGCAAGATGTGCAAACTGTGCATACTGTGAATGGGCTATTATACAGCTTCAACATGGCTCATCCAATAATAATTAATATTTTAATGTAAAATATTAACACTTTGAGCTACAAGTCATTTATGGTATTTGTATTCATATTTATTTTTAGTCATATAATTTATTGCATAGACCTTAAATACATATTATAAATATTTTTTCATTAATTGTAACAAAACCTTCTTTTTTATTTATATTTACATTTTTAAAACTCCTGGCTGCTTCCTCTGATGAGTCCATCTGTCAAGCTAAGGATTTAATCGGATCTATAGGCCACTGTTATCCTGATTTACACAGCCTTTACTTTTACCCCATCTCACAGTATATGTCAGCACATACTGTATCACACACACTAATGTATATTTATTATCAGTGATCACATCTGCATCATAGGAACATTTAGAAAACAGTAACCAGTTAAATGCACATGTACAGTAAATGAACACCATTTGCATCAGTCACCTTGATTTTAAGACAAATTTATAGAAGATGAATGGGATAAATGATCATCCAATCATTTTATGATCATTTAAAAGGATCACCTTATGTATTTTTTGTATTTATGCATTGTTCCTTAAGCTAGGATTATAGATCTTTTACACTTACATGAAAAACTCTTCATCAAGAAATAATAAAAACAGAAACACAGGAAAACGCACAAATATCAGAATACTACTATTGAATAAATCAATTTACCTTCGCATCTGGTAGTTTAGCGTGGATGCTGAATCCTCCAGATGAATCTCACAGACTTATGGACACTAAGCACTTGCTGTTTCACTGTCATGGATCAAGAACGCTGCTACTGCTGCCACAGGTTAAAGGGGAGGTCTGATCTTTCCTCCCTCCCCGTCTCACTCTCTCCTTCCTTGCCCCATCCCTTCTGCATTTGTTCTGTCCTTGACAAGTTGGGTACAGTACATAACCCGCAATGGTGTAGAGAACACATAACGTGTCAATGTGTGTGTGTTTTTAAATCATGATCAAGATTTTATGATAAAATGTATTGCATATGGGATCCTGTAACTGGTCACACAAGTTTTAAACAGTTTTAAACAACTTTTTGTCTTCACTAGTTTAATTTTTTAATTATTTAAAGTACAAGCATTAAAGTGCAAATCCATCATGTGCTGTCACTCAATGAGGTGATAAAAACGGCATGCATTAAAATGAAAAAAAAAAAATGGCAGACTCTTTGTAAAACAATAAAAACTTTCAACTTTCCAAAATGATTTAATGTCAGCTACTTTTATTTCATTTGTATAATCATAATATTATTCTTGTGACACTTCATACTTTGATTGGATGCCTTAAAGTAAATATTATTAATTATTATTCAATTTACTATTATTTCAGAATGTAAAGACATGCTAGCTTTTATAATCCAAAGTATTACATTTGCAAAAAAAAAAAATAATATTTTAATAATATTTTCCCTTACCCATATATTTTATAATCTCATCATCACATCAGGTTTGGAGGGGATTTCCCCCTAGTTAACTCAACCGCTATTCTTTCTCTACATGTTCCAGAACTCACTAGTCTAAAATATTCATCTTTAGCTATGATCTCAACTCTTGAGTGGTCATCTGTGTAGCAGGGTTAAGATTACCTTTAGCCACTCTCTTAAGCCATGACGAATATTATGTAATCTCCACACCGTTCCCCTCCCACTCCATCGCTCCCTTTCAGATAAACTCTGTTTTTCCTCAAGGGCCTGTTCAAAGAGAGCGATTCATATCAGCGAGACCTACACACAAGGACAAGATACACCAATACCACTGGGTCCTGATGCAGCTGTAACCCATCCCACTCTTGCAGGACCTAAATCTGCCATCCAGCCCCATAGATTGAAGCCATAGATTAATGCATCTTTGTGAAGAGAAGATTAGGCCTGTAAGGCCACAGCTTTTGCTGGGCTTTAAATAGCATTTGAGCACAACATGCTGGATGCAGCTGAACCTGACCCTGCCCTGCATAGAGGACATTTCAGCTTAACTATTGACTAATCCCACCTCCAATCAACCACACAATCTTCCAGGAAATGGGCCATGAGTCTGGTCCTTGCACTTCTGTGGAAAATCATGCAGAGTGTGCAAACACATCTGACCTGAGGCTAACTGTGTTCTGCAGGGTGAAAGATCCTCCTCCTGCGGTTCTTGATGCTCTGGAGAACCATACTGCACTATACAGACATTACAGTTACATTTAGCCACTGTGGTCACCTCACCAGTAATGAGTTTTTAGTAGGGCTGTGCAATATATCGAAATTATCGAAATATCACAAATGTACATATCGCAATATGCATATCGCTACAGCTTGCAATATTTGGGGCCATGAACAAAAGACAAAGAGAAAATCACTCACTGCTCTTACTTAAATAACTTTTGTAGCTTAAATAAGAATCAGTGCATATTGAATTCAAAGAGGAAATACTAAGCAGTGTTTTATTTTTCCTTTTTATTATTCAGTTCCTAAACTCATGTTAAAATGATTACACTAATGTTAAAATGACATTTTTATGTAATGCTCGAGTAAAACACATACCGATCATTTTCAGAAGTTGTTGTAGGGGTGCTTTCTTATTAGAATCAGAATCAGAATGAGCTTTATTCACCACTTAAGTGTGCGCAAACAGGAACTCTTGGTACATAAATACATACAAATAACCATATATATTGGACACAAGATAGTTATAGAAGTTCACAGAACTGACTCAGCAACAGCTGAGTAAAACAGTTTCATTTGAGCATGTGGAACTTTAAGCATTATCGTATCGCATATCGCATTATTTAATGAGTTATCGCATATATGGAAAAATGGATATATCGCATTTTTCTTCAATATTGCACAGCCCTAGTTTTTAGACATTGTATGATTGGGATGGCATGGTATATGTTTAAACATAAAACATTAATTATTCTCATTTAACTACAAATATTTGCTTGATACTTGTAACCATAATCACTATAACGCCATTTGATGTCACAAGTGTCTTTTTAGCAGAGGTGGGACCAAGTCATTGTTTTGCAAGTCACAAGTAAGTCTCGAGTCTTTGCATTCAAGTCTCGAGTCAAGTCCCGAGTTTTAATCCTGTTGCACCATAACTTTAAACTCAGATTTAAATCTCAAATATGGATTAACTTTAAACTAAACCCTTAAATGCATACCTCGGGTCTTTAACGACCCAGGACATCATTCTCTACCCTCTCCCTCCTTCATTTTTTTAAGTTAGACATCAACTTTCTTAGTATTCCTCAATCTATTAATTATAAACAATATAACAAGAAAAAAATAGTAAAATATAAAATGCCAGTTTTCTGATTAATTTTTTTGTTAAAAGTGTATAGGGTTGCTAGAGACCGGAGGTATGTAAATGTGTAAGTATTTTTTCCTGTGCAACTACATTTACATATCTGATGACTCAATATGTGCAATGCATCTTTTTTCCTCAAGGTGGCACTGTTTGCAATGATGACGTGATGTTTATGTTTCACTCATAATTACTGCAGGCATAAAACAAAAGAATATCATCAGCAAAAATTGAAGGGGTTTGAATGGCTTTACTGCAGCACAATTACTATACTACGCAATGAAATATAAATGTCACTGTCATTTGATGCTGGATGTGGTGAATAAACTGCCAGTGATCAAAATATTGAATATGAAGTCACTGAAAACGATAGTTTTGAGAATATACCTGAGATCGTGAATATGAGGAAGATGCTGAATGTACTGTGGAAGTGCGCTCTGACGATGACAGCGATGGTAAAATCATCTGCTCAAATTGAACCCTTTTAAGTTTCAAAAGGTAACGAAATATGCTTTATTTTATTCATCTGTAATTGTTCTTAAAATATCAAGAGAGTTGTTTTGCTATTGCAGCAGTTAGAGATCCATCCGTGCTGTATATATAGGTCCGGGTCGCTAAAGAGCCGAATATGTAATAATGATTGGCAAAACGTTCATGCATTTAAGGGTTAATGGAGGTTTAAATAAAAAAAAATGCACATGCAATTAAAATATGTAACTGATCGAACAAAAACTGTGGAGATCTAACAAAAACAGGTCTCAGAGAGATGTTTATTACAAATAAAAATTCAAATGAAAGCACATGGAGTTGGCAGAGTGCAAGGGTCGTGGCGGGATGCGGATCCGTCACTCATGGTGCACCTCGGTGTCGGAGAAACTTATCTCTGTTCTTTTGTCGTAAATTATGCTATTACTCCATTAATTTATACTAGCCTATCCAGCGCTCCCTGAACGCAGTCTCTGGCTTATTGCCAGAGTCAAGCGCAACGCTGCAGGGACGCATCTACGACTTTGATCTGATCATAAAGTCTTTCCGAGTCACAGGGCTCAAGTCCAAGTCAAGTCGCGAATCCTTGCTGTCAAAGTCTAAGTCGAGTCTCAAGTCTTCTTTAATTATGTCGAGTCGAGTCGCAAGTCATCAAATTTGGGACTCGAGTCCGAGTCGAGTCTCGAGTCAAGTGACTCGAGTCCACACCCCTGCTTTTTAGTAACCATGGCCAATATTCATATATACAAAGTTTTATCTGCACAAGAGCACACATGAAATAAGATTGGGTTAAATCGACAAATTAAAGTTACATTCAAAATCAGTGTTAAAAACAGTGTTTTTGACTTACCCTGACTTATATTTTAAGCTGTCAGGTCGGATTTGGTATGAAATTTCGTGTTTACCTGCGTCATTTCCGTAAGTAAGGAAAGTAGGTCCAGCCAATTTATCGGCCAAAAAAAAAAAAAAAACTGCCTTCTCTTGATATTATTTTCGGATATACTCTGTGTAAGACTTTCTTATTACTCTTAGCGGGTCTATTGTTGTTGAATGAACGATCCGCTCTGATATCGTAAGTGTACCGCAAACCATCAGATTAATCGCAGTTAGAAAAGTTAAAACCCTCTGCAAGTAGCTTGCTCTTGTATGTTTAATTAAAGCTGCAGTCCGTAACTTTTTTTGGTTAAAAATTATCCGAAATCAATATTTGAGCAAGTACATAACTAGCCAGTGTTCGAAATTATTGCCTTACTTTATAAACATAAAGAAGTTGTCCCGGCTACTAGGCTATTGCATGCGAGGATACTGCAGGTGGCGGATCGTTTATAGTCTTTTCTCACAGCAGCTGGAATAATGAAATGTATAATTTTGATGGCGTCTTGTAATCCGGAAAGGATTATGTATTTATGAAACACATGTGAATGAAATTAAATTATATTCCAGTTTTAAATGTGCTTCTGATTACAGATAGCCTGGGATTACACAAGATTTGTATATAGACAACCAGTTCAAAGGGAGCATAATTTGCTTTTTGGGTTAAAATAATTTCTTAATATGAAATTCGAGTGGTATGACAATTAGAGATTAGACTGTACAAAAATTGTAATCTACTCGCGTATACACTCTATACCAGGGGTCACCAAACTTGATCCTGGAGGGCCGGTGTCCTGCAGAGTTTAGCTCCAACTTGCCTCAACATACCTGCCTGTATACCTAGTAAGACCTTGATTAGCTGGTTCAGGTGTGTTTAATTAGGGTTGGAGCTAAACTCTGCAGGACATCGGCCCTCCAGGACCGAGGCTGGTGATCCCTGCTCTATACTCATAGTCACGCAATGCTGATATTGTTAACATTAACAATTTGAGAATAAAGTATAACAATAATAATAATTTGCAAGGTTTGATTGTGATATGAGCTCATTTAGATTAAATCACCTTTGGTAGCGTGATTTATTGTAATGCTTTTTTCCTCAGTTGGTCAGAACAAACGTGTCAGACTTGTTACTTACTTGTTCAGATGACAATATCCAGTGAAAATGCTTATTTGAGTCATATATTTCAAGACGT